GCAAAGCCCTTGCTCCTCTCTTGTGATGGCCTCCCCTACACAGAGACACAGTGCAGTAGGATGCATAGCAAGTCAGTAATGGGGAGAAGATCAACTGTAAGGAGACCACAGACAATACTGGTGACAAGTCCTTTGCCCTCTGCCAGTCTTTTTATGGGCACAGCATGCACAGTACAGATCCCTATAGGGATATGACTAAATACAGGTATCTGAGATATACTAACCCCGCTACACTCCCTCGCTGCTGCCACCATCTCCACCTGGCCATCTTGATTGGCCAGGCCTGGAAGACGTAACTCTTGAGTATGCATACGGGAATGCAATTATTCCGGCACCGAGGCATGTCAAGAATGTACGCTGGGCTTTGGCCGGGTCTTCTTCTGGGTCTGAAATCTTCAACATTCTTGATTGGCCTGAGCTGGAATGATTTGACTATAGAAGATTGCCAACATGCAGCTAGATCAGGGGTAGCCAAACTCCGGCCCTCCAGCTGTGGTGGAACTACAAATCCCATGAGGCATTGGAATATTCTCACAGCCACAGACATGACTCCTGGAGAGAGATGCATCATGACGCATCTCTCTCCGGGATTGTGGAATTACCCTTTAAGTGTAGTAAAGGAAAATGATTTATCTGGCCTGGCAAGGTGGCTGAACCGAATTACAAATCCTCTGGCCGGGAAATCTCTTCTCATGTTGGTATTTTAGCTATTAGAGACGGTTATATCCACTTAAAGCCCAACTCCAGGCAGTGTGCATTGAAGTCCAATCCCTCTATACCAAAATACAATTTGCCGGCGGACCAGCATTGCTATGGAACCCGCCGTGGTCTAGTTACAATTTCTGCACACGAATTGGCACGGCAAGAGCGAATGTTGTTTAATGTATTTTACCACCATGGCGCCTCGGTTGACTTTTACGCTCCTTTGCTCGGCGTTGAGGTTCAAGCTGCTCCATTGTTCAACTGTTTGTACCTGACACAACATGGGCTCTGCAGCAGAAACGCCGGACCGCCAGTGTGGTGGGGGGTTATTGGCTGCATTTCACATTGTGCCTTGATGACGCCTGACCTTTGGGAGAAAACGTAAAGGGTTTGTTTTGTAGAAATAGATCTGGATCTAATAGGCCTCCGTGTCATTATCAGCACTAAGAATTGATTAGCAGAGTTTGGCAATTAGTGCAGAAATTAGGTTGATGAAGGCTTTAAATAGCGGCTGTTTAGAAACAAAGGCTTAATGGAAGCAGGGGGCGGAAGCCCTCCCTAAGACTCCTATATATTGCTCTATAATCGAATCCTGGCACTGCGACACGCGTGCGGCGTACACGTTGTGCTGCTCAGTTGTTTACCTTGCAGCTGGGCCTCGTGGGCATCGCTGCACCTGCCGAGCAGGAATCTTAAAGGGGTTTCGCAGAGCAAAGGACTGTATATGATTGTTACTGGAAGTTTTATATAATAATCTGTATCCGAATAATAAACACTGAGCAAGGAACTGGGACGGATTGGGCGACGGGTACAATGGAATCCCCCAGCAGTATGGGGGTCAAAATGGAGTGAAAACTTGTCCTACACCCAGGGGCGTAACTAGAAATCACAGGGCCCCTTAGCAAAATTTTGTATGGGGCCCTGTGATTTCTAGTTACGCCCACCTGATAACCCAAACAACCCACCTAAGGGTGACCCTGCAGAGCCCACTCTCTATGGTAGGCTCTGCAGGGTCTCAGGCGGGCGGTCAAGCCCTCTTACCTGTCAGCCCTGATCCTCTGTCCGCCTCCTTCTCCTCCACGATCGACTCCTCCGTCACTGAGCCCCACCTCCTCGATCGCCGGGTTCCGCCCCCTCGATCGCCGGGCCCCGCCTCCTCGATCACTGCCGATGACGGGCCCAGCCACCTCCTGCGAAGCTGCTGGTTGTCACCAACTCAGCAGCGGCTGTGAGAAGGAACGCAGCGTTCCTCCTCACAGCCGCCAGTGACAGCCAGCAGCCTGGCTGTCCGAGCAAGATGCCATTGCGACCCAGGCGGCCCGCATGGCATCAGGGAGATGTCCTGGCTGTGCCCCGCCGTGCCTCGGGCCCCATAGCGTCCGCCTGGGTCGCTATGGTGATTGGTACGCCACTGCCTACACCATCTCCTAACAACTGGGAGGCAGAGCTGTATGATGTATATACAGTATACACGGCGCACACAATTATTGGGCAAGTTGTAGTTCTGAGGATTCATTTCACTATTGAACATCTCCAGAGCTCTCCGTCCATCCAAAATGTTACTAAACCTCAAACCGGAATATTGAAGAAAGTAAAAGTGAGGTTTCGGCTTTCTGAGGAGAATATTTGGGTGTGCGGGATTATTATGCAACTAAATGGAAAATACAAATGTTCTGTCTCGCGTGTTTATTTCCATCTGTTACAGTGAGAAAAATAAACAAACAACTCAAAATGTACAAATAAACATTACTGACATATTCAAAAACAAAATCAGTGACCAATATCACCGATACCCGTCCTCAGCCTCCCATCCATGGAGTCTGTCAGTCCTCAGCCTCCCATCCATGGAGTCTGTCAGTCCTCAGCCTCCCATCCATGGAGTCCGTCAGTCCTCGGCCTCCCATCCATGGAGTCTGTCAGTCCTCAGCCCCCCATCCATGCAGTCTGTCAGTCCTCAGCCCCCTATCCATGGAGTCTGTCAGTCCTCAGCCCCCTATCCATGGAGTCTGTCAGTTTCTTCATCTGTTGACGATCATCTTTTTGTGCAGCAGCAACCACGGCCCCCCAGACACTGATCAGAAAGGTGCACTGTGTTCCTTCACCGTAAATCTACCGTATAAGAAGAGCCCACAAGGGTCAGGTGAGGAAGGGGCCATGTCATCATTCTTTCATCTTTAAGGCCTTTACTGGTGAGCCACGCAGTGGAGTACTTGGATGCATGTGATGGAGCATTGTCCTGCATACATATCACGCTCAGACTTTTTCCTGGACCACGGCTTGAAGAAAGTGTGTTCTAAAACCTGGCAGTAGGTTTGGAAGTGGATTTTGAGTCTCATCTTCAACCCGAAAAGATCCAACTAGCTCATCTTTATTAATACCGGCCCACCAGAACCCGACCACCACCTTGCTGGCATCTGAGTGGAAGTGGAGCTCTGTGCCCGTTACTGATCCAGCCACGGGCCCATCCATCTGGATCCGTCTTCAGATATTTCTTGGGCTAGTCTTGATGTTTGTTCAGTAGTGGTCGGGTTTCCTTACCTTGGGCATGTCGCGGTCGGTCGGTCACTCGGTGTGAGGAGTGCTCGGTGTGGGTGCTTGGTGTGGACACTTAGTGTGAGGAGTGCTCGGTGTGAGGAGTGCTCGGTGTGAGTGCTTGGTGTGGACACTCGGTGTGAGGAGTGCTCGGTGTGAGTGCTTGGTGTGGACACTCGGTGTGAGTGCTGCTCGGTGTGAGTGCTGCTCGGTGTGAGTGCTGCTCGGTGTGAGTGCTGCTCGGTGTGAGGAGTGCTCGGTGTGAGTGCTGCTCGGTGTGAGTGCTTGGTGTGGACACTCGGTGTGAGGAGTGCTCGGTGTGAGTGCTCGGTGTGAGTGCTCGGTGTGAGTGCTTGGTGTGAGTGCTTGGTGTGGACACTCGGTGTGAGGAGTGCTCGGTGTGAGTGCTTGGTGTGGACACTCGGTGTGAGTGCTGCTCGGTGTGAGTGCTGCTCGGTGTGAGTGCTGCTCGGTGTGAGTGCTGCTCGGTGTGAGGAGTGCTCGGTGTGAGTGCTGCTCGGTGTGAGTGCTTGGTGTGGACACTCGGTGTGAGGAGTGCTCGGTGTGAGTGCTCGGTGTGAGTGCTCGGTGTGAGTGCTTGGTGTGAGTGCTTGGTGTGGACACTCGGTGTGAGGAGTGCTCGGTGTGAGTGCTTGGTGTGGACACTCGGTGTGAGTGCTGCTCGGTGTGAGTGCTGCTCGGTGTGAGGAGTGCTCGGTGTGAGGAGTGCTCGGTGTGGACGCTCATTGTGAGGGCTCAGAGTCTAATCTGGTGTTTACAAGCGGCAACTGTCACCCACTCAAGTTAACAATCTGGTGACAGCCGCTGCATCAATGCGGGCACTGCTTGGAATGGGTTGTGATGCGACTACATGCCGTACGCAATCCATGACTCTCCCCGGACACACGATCGATGCAAGCGTACATTTAGGTTTGCCCGGACATAGGCTTTAGGACGCGGCATTTTCCTCATACATCCTACCTGCTGAGGGTCTCCGTCTATCTGACTTTCTTGCTAATCTAATGGCCTGCAATGATGCAGTCTGAAAAGTTTCCATTGCAGAAAATGTACAAAATCATGACAAGAGGCAGTGGTTCTGCCAGGAGCACTGTGAAGAATTTGCTGAATATGACAGCAGGATATTATTGTAAATGCAGATTACAGGAACGTGTGCAGAACGGGCGCGCTCTGTGCGGTAAAAGGAGCGATCTTCCCCGAGCTGTCCAATTATTGTTTCTGGTAAAAGTCGTCTATTTACACTA